TTTCTTAAAAATGTTGAGTAATTTGAAAAATATATGAAATTCATTTATTTTTACTTAATTGATAAAAAAATTAATTTTATAAATAAAAAATTCAAAAATATCAATTTCTCAATTAAAAATATTTTGTGAAAAAATTGAACAGTGCAAAATTAAATCAAGAGTTTTTAGAGCAACTTCGAAATTTTATTTAAATTTTATCTTTTTTATAATTTATACCGTAAATCTGCCATAAAATATATTAATTAAAAAAACTTAAAAATGTAAATTTGCCGATTCTTAGACTTAAAAAACCTAGTGACTGTATAACAAAATTATCACTAAGATTTGGCTTTATTTGATACTATTAAGTCAGATCCGGCTTGATAAAATTGTATCAGAACATATCAAAAAATTAGAAAACGGGCATATCAAATTATATCAATCCATATCAGAATATATCAATAAATTATCTATAGATATATCAAATTATATCAGCCCAGATCAAACTATATCAAACCAGATAAAGCCATATCAAGCCTGATCAAGCTTTATCAGGCCTGATATGGCCAATTTGCATATCAGGTCATATCAGGTTATATCAGGACCTATCAAAAATTATACATGGACATATCAGATCATATCAGGCCTGATATGATTATATCAAAAATTTTGATATGGCCATATCAGGACATATCAAGTCTGATAAAAAAATTACTGTTGTAGAACCAATCGGTTACCGTGTTTTATCCGGTTTAAAATTTACAAAAAGTAAATTTTTTTTTTTATTTTTTAAATACAATATGAAATTGATATTATTATTCTTTTTCATGCAATTTTATGCCAAATGAAAAAAACTTTTGTGTATGATTTATCAATTTATCATGAAATGTAATTTTCAGTTATTTATTCATGTAGTATTAAAATTATTTGAAAATTTTGGAATTATAAATATTATCAGATCTGATTATGTATAGACTTATATATGTTTATAAATGGAGCTATAACAGCCGGTTATGATCATATCTAATTATATGTGGCGTTGATGATGTGCAATTGTGTATTGGTAATAAGGAGTATTGCTATTTTATATTGCTATTTTGTTTTATACTTTATTTTTTGTATTTTTTTTCTTTCTTTTTTATTATTATTGTGAATGAGTTGCAATAGCTAACTCATCGCTAGACCATTCACTTAGTATTTTGGAATTTATATGTGAAATCACTATGCTAGTTATAAGTCATCTTGTCATACATCAAAAACTATTTTTGTATACTAACTACTGTACTATTAACCCCGTTAATGGCCTAGGCTGTTGGGTTTGTTTATTAAATAAAATAAAATAAAATATGTAGACTTATATATAATCAGATCTGATCATATATAGACTTATACATAATTAAATATGGAATTATAACAGCCAGGTATGATCAGATCTAATTATATATAGACTTTTATATGATCAGATCCGATCATATATGGACTCATATATGATTATATATGGGGTTATAACAACCAGGTATGATCAGATCTAATTATGTATGACCCTATATATAATCATGTATGATTATATATGATCTCATATATGATTATATATAATTATATATGATCATATATAATTAGACAAAAACTTTTTTTATCGGGTTCGACACTCATTTTTTATTCAAGGCTCCAAGTAAATCTTTATCAACAGTTAAAAAATATTTATTAATTAGTCAACAAATATTTATTAACTACAAATAAATATTCATTAGCAATTTTAATATTGTGTGTTAATAAACGATTTGTTAGTTATTAATAAACATTTTTTAACTATTCAAAAATATTAATTAACTGTTAATAAATTTTATTTAATGAATGATTCATCAACTATTGATAAATATTTATTAAATCATCTGATGTTAAGAAATCATTTATTTATAGTTAATGTATTGAATTTTAGTAAATCCTATCAGTGTCATCCACTTAATTTCTTTAAAATTGTGAAAATTCGAAAACTTCATGAATCAAAAAAAATTTTTTTTCAATCGTTCTATTTTAATTATTCAACTTGACAAAAAATATTTCAAAGTCGGAAAATTAATCAAAAGTCAAAATTGTACTTTGAAGAATTTTTAAGTAAAAAAATCATAATGAAATTCAATTTCGAAAATCAGACAAGCTTTTATCTTTAATTTTTCGAAGAGTAGAAAATATTGAAAAAAAATTTGTAAATATCTTAACTTTTCAATTTTTTACGACTTAAAATAGCTGGAGCTCCACTTTGTTCTAATTACCTTTATTAAATTAAAAAATAATTGCTCGTTAGTTAATAAATTTATTGATATTTTGTACCATAAATAAATTTATAAATTTTTTTCATTAGTCTCCATTAAAAAGGCGTTCAAACGGTCTCATAAGTGTTCTTTTACGAGCCGTAAAATGCATATAAAAACGAAAATGAGAATGAAAAAAATGTTTAGACTAGGAATCCTCATCATTTTCTCCTCCTCATTCTCAATCTCATTCTATTGGAATCGGCGCAAGATAAACGGAGTAAAAAAAGCTTCAGTAAAGTAAAAAACGTAAAAGGGAGACTAGATCTCAGTGACATGAATCGTGTCCCAAAAGTTATTCATTTGACGAAAAGAATGAATGCGTAGTAATTTTCTCCTTCTATTTAGTCCGTAAATGTTTCTGGGCTTTCATTTCGGGTGGTAAACTAAAAAGGAGGTCACCTTTAAATAATGGATTACCAAAGCTGGCTAACTTTTCTAGCCAGCTCTCTTTCATACCCTCAAATATTCACTAAGATAAAACTTTCATCTTTTCTCCTCAAAGCCGCTTAATAACTATTAACAATAACTATAGCAAATATTAGAACAGAAAATAGAGAAGATATATTATTTAATCAATATTAATTACGTTTTTTTTAATTTTTTCTATTTAATTAATAACCATTTCCCCCGTTATTTTTATCCGGTCTATGAATTATTCAGCCCCATTAAAATCTGTTATTGAAAATCATAAGACCTTAAATAATAGGCATTTATTTTATGAATCCATGCATTGGTTAAAAATTATTACAGTTATTGAATAATATTTTTAATAAGGCCTTATTCATTTTAAAATGTAGAAAAAATTATCTGCTTGATCAGATCACATTTTTTTTCTTTTGGTTGATTTAATTTTGCACCCCTTATAACGCGGAAAGGTTAAGGTAGTACTTTACTTTAAGTACATCAGGATCAAGCAATTTTGTAGCCCTATTAAAATACCTCTATCACAATCATATTGCACATAATAGCCCCCGTAGCTACTCATGTACCAGTACATGCTCAATTCATGTATTTGTATATCTATATTTTTGAATACAGATATACAAATACATAGAGTGAGCATGTACTGGTACATGAGCAGCTACTGGGGCTCTTATCTTATAGGATATAATACGATCAGACGAATATCAAGAAAACACTAAATAACCCAGCTCATATTTTTCAAAAAATCATTTTATGTTACTACTTTAAAGAAAAAGTGTTTGAAAAAAATTTTACGTCAACATCCGAATGTAACTATGCAATCTTTTGTATACAGTAAAAATTTTTACTGTGTATGTAGTCACGATTAGTCCTCAAAAAAATGACATATTCAGACCGGGTTTTTTTGATTAGCTCTAAAATGACAGCAACTAATTTCATAATGTAGGTGACTCCCTGATTAAAAAAAAGTATTGAGACAAAAAGAAAAATATTGAAAAGAATTGGTTTTTTAGTCAATCCAATATTTTTCAATGTAGGTGACTCCCTGATTAAAAAAAAAAGTATTGAGACAAAAGAAAATATTGAAAAGAATTGGTTTTTTAGTCAATCCAATATTTTTCAATACTTTTTTCTTTGTCTCAATACTTTTTTTTATTCAGGGCTGCATAATTCGGTGTCATATGATTATAATTAATAAAAAACTAAAACCGACTGGTCTTTAGCATATCTATATATATCTGAGATAAAAATATCGCAAAATATTTGAATCTAAAATCGAAGCACAATTTTTTAAAATGTCCATATAATACAAATACTTAATAGATGCGCTTTTTTTTTAAAGTCAGCAATATTACTTTATTTTTTATAGAAATTAAATGAGCGTTATGAATTGTGCAATTTAGGATTTTCCACAATTTTTAAATATTACCTTTTCAACAAGCGGCATGATGGCCGAGCGGACTAAGTCATTATCCCGTTAGTTCGTTCGTGCATCTTGTCGTGAGGCGAGGGTTCGATCCCCGACGGTTATTCGAATAGTACCAACACCAACCGTCGGAGATCGCTCCGGTAGCCGACTGTACTGGCATGGGTTTTCTCTGTGGTTTCCCCATCGTCACTATTCAAACAACCGATAGAAAGGGGTGAGGAATAGGGTGAATACAGTACAGAAAGCACAAGTCGGTCCACAGCCGCATTGGAATAAGAATATGTGGAATAAACACAAAAAAGTGGAAACCTCTTCTAGCCATTTACACTTAAGTGGAATTACGGTGGTAATTAACAAAGTGGAAAAAATATAGGTTACAGTCTTGTAAAAACCAATAGGTATACAAGTAAAATTGGTTATAAAATATATTACCTTTTCAACTTTTAAATATCATTTTTTGCTTTGATTTTTTAAATTAACTCTTTCATCAGTGAATATACTACCGCGGAATATTGAAGATGAAAATTTTTTATTATTATTTTTTTGAAAAGTACATTAAGAAACGAAAATTTTGTTATAAAAAATTTCTTGAGAAGTGAATTTTTAAAAAAATTGTGGCTTATGATCAAAAATCTTTTATTAGTGAATCTTTCATGTATGGATATTTTAACATTATTTATTGCAAACGAATTTATAGTCAAAAATTTTGACGAATAAATTTTTCTACAAATTATTTTTATCGGGTTCGTGATTCGTGGTAAACAAAAAATTCTAGATATATATTTTATCAAAGCCGATCTTGCTATAAAGAAAATATGAAACTGTTCATTGAATCGTGCACGAACGCTTTTACAGCAAAAGAACATGAAGCTATTTCCAGGTAAGTGCTTTTTTTCGTGTCTATCAATATCTTTTAGGGGTTCTCTCCTTGGCATTAGCTTTGGTCAGTGTTAGTGGCCTTTTATAAAATAAAAAAAAATAAAAAAAAAAAGAGCTAAGAAAAAGGAATAACATGAAAACGGGAATGGCGGTATCAAACTCTTTGTCGAATTGTTTCTCCGTCCCATCCATTCTTAACGATTCTGAAAATTCGATTCTATTTCTTTACGATTCCTGAATCCTATAAAGTAAAAGCCCCAATAGATGATCACGTACCAGTATATGATGACTCCATGTATTTGTATATCTATATTCACAAGTATAGGTATACAAATACATGGAGTGATCACATACTGGTACATGATCATCTATCGGGGCTTTTACCTTACAATCTTTTACTGCTTATAACTTAAAATAAATTTTATGCTTTCAATTATTTCACACTAGGGATCCTAAATACAAGCTTGACAATTAAAATAATACAAATAGTTTCAATGCTCAATTATTATTCTTATAATTTATTAAAGCCAATTACAGTACGTGATATTTAACATCACATAAGTAAAAATTTGATAGCCCAATTCACAAAATAATCTACATTATTACTTTTGATCACAAATTGATTGATGGAAGCAAGTTTCTCTTGATCCAAGGTATTGCTGACCAAAATTTATTACAATTAATTATTCTGAAGCGAATACAGTTGTAGTTTCAACGGCAATAGTAGTTGCTTCTGAACTTATTACGGTTTCTGAAGTAGTTACTTCTGAACTTATAATGGCTTCTGAAGTAGTTGCTTCTGAACTCACAACAGCTGCTAAAGTAGTTGCTTCTGAACTTACAACAGCTGCTGAAGTAGTTGCTGATGATGGTTCTTCAGTTGTTGATAGTGATGGTAGACTTGTTGGTGTTGTCGGACGTTGACTCGACGAAGGGATTGGTGACCCAGTTGGTTTTGGTGGTCTTTCACTTGAAGGATGAGGAGATCCAGTTGGTTTTGGTGGACGTTGACTTGAAGAGGGGATTGTTGAACCAGTTGGTTTTGGTGGTCTTTCACTCGAAGGATGAGGAGATCCAGTTGGTTTTGGGGGACGTTGACTTGAAGGATGAGAAGATCCAGTTGGTTTTGGTGGTCGTTGACTTGAAGGTTGAGGATGGGGAGAGTCAGTTGGTTTTGGAGGGTAAGGATGAGGATGAGGTTGTGGTTTTTCAGAAGTTGGCTTGTGATGATCTGGCTTGTGATTTAATTTGTTTAGATCATTTGGTTCATTTGGATGAACTGGAGGTAAGACTGGCGGTTGAACTGGTGATTGAACAGGAGGCAAAACTGGTGATTGAATTTGAAGTAACCCTGGTAATAAAACTGAAGAAACTGGTCGTCCAATATTTTCAACCTGATTGTCTTCAAGATCAGAATTTATTATTGACAACCATATCGATTGTTGAACAGGGTTTGCCTAGTTAGAAAACTCATCGTTAATTAATAATATTAATAATTTCTTAACTATAATTTGTAAAGTAGTTACGATGTTAAAAATAAAAACGAATTAGACTAGACTTTTAACTATAACAATAATTATATGCCATAATAATTACCTCAATGACTGAAATAGCAATGAAACTGACACAAAGTATAAATAACTTCATCGCAAATCTGGTGTGAGTGACAGAAAAACGATTATGATTCAAACTTAACTGACTCCGGAGCACAATAAACCCAGTATTTATATCTAGGTTAAATCTAACGCTGATAAAAGCTATTGATAAATTAATACAATCAAACACTTGATGTTGGGAAACAGTATTTTTAATTTGACATTGATAATGATAATATAATAGTGGATAGAAAATTACGGAACGGCGTTTGAATAAATTAAAAAATGTGTTTATCTATTTAGATTCTTTTATTGATTATTTATGTACAAAGTCAAGAGCCCTGCTATTTTTTTTTTTTGATAGAATATACAAGTTATATTAAAAGCATTGTATTCAAAGAATTTCAATGACTAGAGCGGGTTTTCTCAAGTGCTTTGATAATGTAAATACTTTTCTTGACATTGATAATTGAATTGGATTATAACTATGTTTCATCATCTTTATTTTGAGGTAATTCAGTTGGAAAACCCGTAATATTGAGTGGTTGACTTGATTTACAATTTTTTGTTCATTAATATCATTTTAATAGTGATTACATTTTATGTACAGAAAAATTAAAATTGTGGAAAAATTGATTGTCAAAAGTAACTAAAAAATTAATATAATTTTCATTTAATAGAATGAAGAATTAATGACATGAATCATTTGATAATTAGAACATTCACCAACGTATTCATGATTACAGTGTTCAGTTTTTATATTAACAAAATAGTAGTGTTCGCATTTAACTCGATATAAATTACATCCGTAGGAACGTTGTTCCTTATAAACATACTGGTAATTAAATGTGTATGGAAAATATGTGAACGATCGAACCAATTGTTTAATAGGCCAAATTTGATAAGCTTTAAAGTTATTACAATCCCCTACCAATAAGTATGTACAGAAACTTTGATGATTGAGATAATTGTTGCAATTAATTTGATACCAGTTGCAATATTCCGGTGTTTCGTGTTTCAGAACAAACTGACTGGTGTAAAAGATGTATGCAGTAGTTGTATTTTCATCGGTTTGTACTTCAGTTTCTTCAGTAGTTGATGTTTCTACTGTTGAAGTACTGATTACACCAATAGTAGCTGGGTTCAGTGTCGTATTGATAGCTAGAAATGCTGAAGTTGGTGCATCTGTAGTTGTTTCAAATGTCAAAGTAGTAGTCAAAGTTATACCATCTGTAGTTGATTCAATTGGTGTTGTTGGAACAGGGAATGATTCTGGCGTTAAAGTACTAAATACACCATCTGTAATTGATTCGAATGGTGTCGTTGAAGCAATAAATGATTCTGTAGTTCTTTCTGGTATTACAGTACTAATTTTATCATCTGTAGTTGGGGCATCGGTAATTATTTCAGGTGTTAAAGTAGTACTTGTACTATCTTTAGTCAATTCATTTGGTGTTGTTGACACGAAGAATGATTCAGTAGTTGTTTCTGGCGTTAAAATACTTAGTTCATCATTTGTAGTTGGTGTTGTAGTAATACTTATTTCAGTTTGTGTAGTTGGTGGATCTGTAATCATTTCAGGTATCAAAGTAGTAGTTGTACTATCTGTAGTCGATTCAATTGGTGTTTTTGAAACGAAGAATGACTCTGTAGTGACTTCAGGTGTCAAAGTAGTAGTTATACCATCTTTAGTCAATTCACTTGATGTTGTTGAAATAAAGAGTGATTCCGTTGTTATTTTTGGTGTCAGGGTACTAATTTCATTATTTACAGTTGGTGCTATGGTACTACTTATTTGAGATTCTGTAGTTGGTGGATCTGTAATTATTTCGGGTGTTAAAGTAGTAGTTATACCATCTTTAGTCAATTCACTTGATGTTGTTGAAATAAAGAATGATTGCGTTGTTATTTTTGGTGTCAGGGTACTAATTTCATTATTTACAGTTGGTGTTATGGTACTACTTATTTGAGATTCTGTAGTTGGTGGATCTGTCATTATTTCGGGTGTTAAAGTAGTAGTTATACCATCTGAAGTCAATTCATTTGGTGTTATTAAAATAAAAAATAATTCTGTAGTTATTTCAGGCGTCAAAGTACTAATTTCATCATTTGTAGTTGGTGTTGTAGTACTACTTATTTCAGTTTCTGTAGTCGGTGCACTTTTAGTTATTTCTGGCGTTACAGTACTAGTTGACTCATCTATCGCTGATTTAATCGATGTTGTTGAATCAATTAATGATTCCGTAGTTGTTTCACGTGTCCAAGTACTAATTATATCATCTGTAATTGGTGTTGTAGCAGTACTAAATACTTGAGCTTCTGTAGTAAATTCTAGTGTAAGAGCACTGACACCATCATCTTCAACCGAGTTAAACGTTGTAGAAGTAATTTCAGCACCCGTAGTTAATTCGTCGGCCATTCCGACAACTGTTATACTTGACGTGGTAGTTGAAGCTTGGGGTATTTCTGTGGTACTAATAATAGTTTCGCCAACTGCATTGATCTTCAAAGCCGAGACAATGGGCTCGCCGACAGGAGTCACTGTATCTACAGGTATAATTGTGTCAGTGTCAGTTATGTTGGTGGCTCTTGATGCTTCAGGCGATCCTGTTATAATTTCTCTAGAAACGTTTTTAGACGTGCCAGCAGATTCTAATGGACTGCCAAGAGCTTGAGAGGCTTTTGCATCTAAATAAACTGTTTCATTAACAGTCGATGGTCTCAATGTGGTCACCTCTTCAATTACTCCTTTCAAATCCGTTATTGTCAATTCTGTTGGCGCTGCCTGTAACATTTTTTTTTTTTTTTTAATTAAAATCTATCATATTTGTTTTTGCTTACATGAGTAATTGTTTCTTAAATAAAACTCAGGCCAAACAACAAAATGAAAAAAAGGCCATTCGGCAGCCAAAATGGGAGTAGATTTCATAATAAATAAAAAAAATACTACTAGGATCGTATACAGATAAAATACGCTTCCTTACATCAGGTACATTGTAAAAATGCCTAAATAAATATTTTACATCTGAAGTAATCAATAGACACTACAGTTTTAATCCGTGTATATTTCATTATGAGTAAAATAATAATTTCTAAATTATTAATAAAATAATTATTTACTATAAAATGAATGCAAAAGTAACATTTTATTAGGTAGACAGAGAGAGTTTGTAATTTTTGACCTAGACCGATGGTTAGATATGCAAATTAAAATTCATTTATTAAGCTTTTAAATGCAATCCATAAAAATTTTACAAGTTATCGCATTCAATAGTTATTTTACAAAGAAACAATGAAACAGTACCAATTTTCAAATATTTTAAAGAATTCAAATTGCTTTCATCCCTATACTATTGAGTTGAAAAAAAATTAGGAAAACGGTTGACCCTGAAGGCCATCCCTGCAACTTCCCGCCAATTCTATACCTATACGCTTGAAATTGCACTTATGACGTTTTAGATATTACACCCTACACGTGCTCTCCGGGTAGTGCTAAATGAACAACACCAAACAACGATATGGAAATGTCAGAAGATATGCAAACATCGTTTACAGTACAGAGGATGGATACCTCAGTGCCGGCGAGGGAAGGTGTGCAAACGGGCCCGAACTTGTCGTTATCAAGCGACCGTTACGACAGCAGGGTAAACCCCATGGCTCTGCTGTCTGGAAATGCTACAGGGAGTACGGAAACAGCCCAGATGGAGGAGAACGGTCAGCTGAACAACGGTCCTTCAAAAAGTGGAGGACCTTTTGCTCCTGTCACAAACCAAACCTACCGCGATACAGAAAGTCGTAAGGACAGCGAGAGAAGCATGGACTGGTAGCCTCAAAGCCCGCAAGGTGTGTCTTGTCCTCACGCTAGACATTAGAAATGCCTTTAACAGCGCAAATTGGAGAGATATTTTGGACGCCCTGGAGCACAGATTTGACGTAGAACCGGAGAATCTGGCACTAGTTGACAACTACCTTGACGAAAGAAAGCTAATAGCAGAAACCACGGAAGGCCCACAAGAATACGCCATAACGGCTGGCGTGCCGCAAGGCTCAATAATGGGGCCCGATCTATGGAACGCGGACTACGACGAGCTTCTTGAAATCCCGTTGCCAAAGCAAGTGGAGCTAACGGGCTTTGCAGACGACGTTGCAGCCACTATAGTGGCGGATAGCGTAGAAGAGGCCGAACTGGTAGTTCGAGAAACCATCGACACCGTCGAGACTTGGCTTGATAAGCATCACCTGAAACTCGCCAAACAGAAAACCGAGATGGTCGTTTTGACACGTCAAAAATGGTTCCCAAAACCATTTGCTGTGGACATGGGAGGAACAACACTGACGTCAACAAGGGCCCTTCGATATCTAGGGGTTATGATAGACGAGAAACTATCTTTCCGTGAACACCTCGACAGTGCATGCAAGAAAGCCAGCAAGACTGTGTCTAGTCTAGCACGAATTATGATCAACACCATGGGACCAAGAACAAAAAAGAGAAGAGTTCTTCTAGAAGCAGTCCACTCGGTACTGCTTTATGGAGCAAAGATATGGGCAGACATATTAAAGCAGAAGACCTACCGGCGAAAGATAGCAGCAGTACAGCGGCGAGGCGCTCTCAGGGTTGCCTGCGCCTACCGCACAGTTTCCGAAACGGCTGTTTTGGTCATGGCAGGAGCC